CCATCCGCCCGCTTGTTTGCCTTAGCCGTAAGCAGAAAAGTTTGCGCGCCATTAATGAAATCGGGAGAGCATCGGTCATCGTACATCCATTGTCGGCTCATCTTCATTACACAACACCGAAAAGACCAAATTAATACAAGTTCATACATAAAGTTCATACAACACTTAAATGCAACAAACAAATAACTTTCTAGCTAAAGCATTTAAATGCAACAACAAATGCGATCAAGATCGCAACTAAGGTAACAATTGATCCAACAACATAATGATACCAAGCCTCACTATGAATGGCATATTTTCTAATCTTTCTAATCTTCAAGCGCATTTTCTCCATCTTGATCTTGTGATCATCGACGATATCGGCAACATGCAACTCCAAGTCCATCTTCTCCCCCTCAATTCTTTTTATTTTTTTTTTAAATATTCATTTTATCTTTCAACTAAATTTAACATATCGACAATAGGGTTGGTTGGAATTTCCGGTTCACATACCTCCTACATAAAAATATCTATGTCAACTTGATGGGCACAATTTGTCATAAACACGAAATGCAACAAATAGTTTTAAAAGAGAATATACCACATCCGAATCATAACAAGGACGAGGGCCGACGGGGACGGATATCAAAACCATGGCACTATGTATAACAAACAACGTACAGGTAAGATAATTATACGAGTTACTATATATCCAAATCACACAAACATCAATTTTTTATATAAAAGTTCATGAACAAGAAGCTCACCACAAGGTGGTGCCGGCGACGGGATGGTGCGGGCGATCGACGGTGGTTACGACGGAGATTTAGAAGGCACTAAGTAAACCACACCTATATATGCAAACTAAGTGTTATTTTGACCTCAAATTGCATATAAATCAAATACTATCACATATAATTCCTCCCAAATTACTAAAACCCACAAATTAATCATTATATAAACCATTGCAAGAGCTAATCTAGCAATGAGAGATGAAAGGACAAAGTTGCTAACCTTTTGTGATCATTTGAATGGATGGGGGACCTTCAAATCTTGACAAAATTTGGGCAAAATTTGTGATGAGCTCGAGAGGAATGGAAGAACAGAGGAGAGGGGAAAGGGGGAAGAAGCGAGCTCGGGTGGATGCAGGGTTTATATAGGGCGATCTTTAGTACCGGTTCGTGGCACGAACCGGTACTAAAGGTGCTGGTGGGGCCCCATACTGGCAATATCCTGCCGCCACTCTCATTAGTATCAGTTCGTGGCACGAACCAATGCTAAAAGTTCGGCAAGAATCGATACTAATGAGAACGGCCCGGCTAGCCGTTGGAACCGGCACTAATGGACACATTAGTGCCGGCTCAAATTTAAACCGACACTAATGAGCTGAACATTTGACCCTTTTTCTGCCGGTGGTAGAAGGGTGGATTATGACTTGGCTAGGGTCCGGTCCTGGTGATGTTTTGGAGATAGTCCATAATGATTGTAAAGACATTGTGATTGAGTAATACAAGTATTTCTCCCACAAAAAAGAAGAAGCCTAGGTGTAGTTCTACCTTCAATACTAAATGCACGTACGCGAAACAGATGGTTCCAAGTGTTATAGGAACATCACCTACCAATCAGGTTTTCATGGTAGAGATGTGGTGGTCGATACATACAAATACGTACCCAAATACATGTGCATCGGTTGGCATGAAAACCTGATTGGTAGTTTTGAATTCACTAGGCACTGGCTAGAAAACTTCACTATTACTATAAGGCAAGGCATAAAATTTATAGTTTTGAATTCAGCCCAGAGGTGTTACCACCAAAGCATGTGGCGGTAGACACTTGCCACATCATCTTTGACAGCCAGCATTGACCAGAAGTTTACCGTTGTTGGCCATGGCGGTAGCCCATATATTCTACTGTCGGCGCGTACGGCAGTAGCAAAAGGGCCAGATTTGAAAAACTTGCAAACATGTATCAAATCATGCTAAACTTCTGTCAAATGGTCAAAATAATGATTATGTCCACACTCAACAACATATGTTTTTCTTATAGTATGTTTACCGCTTCGATGCTATATGTCATGGAGTATTGTCCTCGTCAAGCATTACTCTTGATGTCTTAACCAAATTTATGCTTTTTCTTTCCACTACACTATTTTGGTTTGTTCTGTAATTTTTCGAGAACCACTCTTTCTTTGTCAAGGAAATCTTTGATGTTGAGTACTTGAACTTCCACTATGGTTTCGAATTTGCTTGATCTTGACATCGAATTGATTTTGCACCTTCCTGGTGAAATTCTTGAGGTGGCCTTGTGGGTCTCACAGGGTAGAAACACCGTCAAATTTTATTTTCACAAGTATTAAACGCTGTCAAAATTCATTGCATTTGCCCCAAAATGGCGGTTGACAGCAAAAATCCCAAGCATTTTGCCTTTTTAGTCTAAACATAGTTCTCTTTATAGATCAATAATCATGTTTATTTTTTTTAGCATAATAATAAGGTTCATGGGATACATCCTGTTACGAAATGAACAGGCATCCCTACCGAAGACCGTCATTAGCAAACATCGCTAAGATGAGGCATGTGTAATTAGTGTCCAAAGTGCCAAGCGGACGTGCCCGTCCGCACGGACGCTTCTCGCATGAGAAATGCCATCTCTTGTAAACAGGCGCCTCTATAGAGGCGTCCCAAATTCTTGTATGAAAGGGGCTTTGCCCATAATCAATAAACACAAGTTTTAATCAATTGTTACAACTTATCAGCACTTGTTCTACCAACAGAGAACCGAGATGAACGAGAAGGTGAGATGGCAGGGATGAACCTGCACAAAATCGCCTCTGCTCTTGTTCGCTTCATCGGACGGAAAATCCGTTAATCTGCCAGATGCCACAATGTTGGAGTTCATCGTCGTTGGGGCCCACAACAGCCGTCGTAGTCACCGTGGTCATTAGGATTAAGGATGGCAATTTTACTCATGGATGATATAGATACCGATGGATATCTGACCCGAATGGATAGGGTTTGTATATGCTTTCGTGCCCATGGGCGATGCCCAAACCCAACCCGATTTCTTGTGGCTCTTTGTCGTCCGCTGGCAGACGACAAAGAGGTGGGGGTGGGTCATTACAGCGCTGACCTAAAATGGACCCCACCCATCTCTTTGTCGTCTACTAGCGGACGGCAAAGATTCTTTGTCGCAGGTGGCAAACAAAAGGCTGATGGCAAGCTAGTTCTTTGCCATCAGCCAGTTCTTTGTCGTCCATTTTTTGCAAGCAGACGACAAAGACCTTCTTTACCGTCAGCTAGCAGACGGCAAAGAACTGGCTGATGGCAAATTTCCCGATTCCAGTAGTGTGGATAGGGCATGGATATAATCTTGTACCCATGGATATACCCAAACCTGACTCATAGTATGCATTAATGAGGGGAAATCTGTTATCCCTACCCCATAGTCACATGTCCCACTACAATTTTACACTTTGTTATGTAAAACATGCAAAAGAAATTGCACAATCCCCACTAAACTTTTATTAGTTGACATTCAGTGCCCACTAACACACTCTAGCGCTCCTTCCCTTATTTTTATCTCTTTGTTAGACTCGTCATTCTCATCTTTTTAGAAAAATATTAAATGATATTAGTTTGTTAGTGGACGTTGATTTACCATAAATTGATGTTTACAATAAGTGAAGCTTAGCTTGCCACGGGGTAAAGAATGGAAGATCTTATGTTAACATTGCCTTATGTCTTATTTATATGTCTTTAGAGTACCCAATGGATACCCAGTGGTTACGGATATCCATCTGGTTTGGACATGGATACAATTTTCATCCATGGATTTTTTTCATAGGTGGGCAAAGACTGTCTTCATGATAAGGATATAGATTTAATATTGTTCAACCCGATCCAAACCCGACTCATTACCATCCTTAGTTAGGATCACCCTGGCCCTGTCGTGGTAGATCAGGAAGGACAAAGCAAACTACATGCGGACATTCACCATGCCAGGCACCTCCGATGTCGGCCTTCGTCGCTCTGCCGATGGACTCGCCCCTTGTCGGCCCAGTAGCACCATTCCTGGCGAGGACAATGACTTCGACGCCGCTCTGGTCCCACCACTGTCGGGGATCTTCTTCAACAACGACATGGACGCAGGCGTGGCCTTATGTCAGGTGCACGAATACAGACCTTGCTCTGCTCGTGAATTCTACCTCGTGCATGGGTACGGGTCGTGCCCTACACCCCCAGCCACTCCACCAATGGAACCGGAGGTCATTGACGAGCCAATCGCCTACCCGGGCCTCCCAACACCGACGCCCGCTAACAAAGACGATGAGCTCTTTGCCCCTCCAAGCTATGGCTCTGTGCCCACCATGATGGAGTGGGAAGTAACGCCGACCGAAGAGGAGCACCAGGGGCGCCACCATCTGGGGGTCACGGATCCTTTCATTGCTGAAGTGCTCTCCTTGCGTGAGGGCGTCAGCTTCGCAAGCTTCGGGGCTACACGCACGTGCGGCTGGAATCCGACTGTTTTGAGGGAGTTAACCTCTCTAATCATCTCAGAAATTAGAAAGCTCTCTGCTAGCTTTTTGTCATTTCATATTTCTCATGTAATAAGAGCCGCTAACGGCCCCGTGCATCTGTGTGCTAGGCGTGCATGTACGTTTAATGTGACTGAAAACTGGTTGGACTCCACCCCTAGCTTCCTCGTCAGTAGTCTCCTGGCTAACTGTTCAACGAATGCTTTTACTTAATAAAGCTCATTCCCCGCAAAAAAAAGTCATCAGCAGAGGCGTTTCAAATTTTGTATAATAAGGGCTTTGCCCACTATCAATAAACACAAGTTTCAATCAATTGTTACACATAACACATCCCAAGCATTTTGCACTCACTGTCGCTCGCAGTGTAAAAGCCCGCTAACCGTATATGGGCTGAAAAGCCTCCACGCCTCGAAAGGAAAACAGCCGACGAAGCTCGTCAGCGTGGCCACCCCGCGGAGCCACCGCTCCCTCTCGCCGGCGCCGACACATGGGCCAGGCCCTGCGCCGCGCCTCGGGGCGCCTGAGGCCTCCGCCCCCGGCGAGGCCCCCGCCCGCTCACCCTCCCCCGCCTCCACCACGGGCCGCACCGGCGGCCGCTGCCGGCGGCGGCGGAAGTCCTCCCCAGGACCGGCTCGACGTGTCACAGGATGGTACGGCGGCTCCTGCTTTCTTTCTTGGATCTCGCTTAGCATTCGCGTGCTGTGCCATTTGACCTAGCTGTTGGTTCTTGATGCCACCACAACTATCGCTGCCGTGTAGCTTTGTTCCTGGTAAACGATGCCTGGATATCCTTAGGTTCTTGACCTGGCACAAATGCTCCGATTTTCTGGTCATATTGGGCTAGTTCATGATCCTTGGTGCTCTTTTGGGCATCCTGCTCACAAAGATCATGTGCAGACTGTTGAATTGAAATGCGACATGCTTAAGTAGGTAGTGGGCACTGTTTCATCTAATCAAGTGTGAAATGTGGATTTCTGCAAATCAGGTTTGTGATCCCTTTGGATTTGACGAACTGAAACCAACCATGACCAATTTAGCATGGGTTATATACTGGGTTAAGTCAGTCAATTCGTATAGTTTCAGAATTTATCGGCATGATCACACTATGTAAGAAAACTAGGAATGTCCGTTAACTTTGTGTGGGGTGTTTTCTGACACTGAATAGCACAGTTGCCAGCAAGTTATTATTTCCGCCCGAGTGCAGCAATGCATGAACAGTCTATCCAAAATTGTTACCACAGTTTGTTCATGACATTATTTTTAGATGAAAGGGGGTGGGAACCCCCCGGTCCCATTTTATAAATGAAACCAGGAAAAGCGTCAAAAGTGCAGATGTTCAAGTTACAGTATGCCCAGAGGCCAAATTACAAAGAAAAAAGTCTAAGACAACAGCAAAAGGATTATTACAGGAGGGGAGTGTATGGCTACATTCCACCACTGTAACAGCGCTACTAGACTAAGCTTCGATCTCGCAGATCATCATTCCATCATCTTGGCCTTCAACTGTCTTGCTGCCCCCCAGCTTCTCCACCGCGCCTCTGAGTTTCTTCCATGGCTGGATCGGCGATCCCAGCAGGTCCAGAGGAGTGATTGGGCTGAGCAGGCAGTGTTTGACACCACCAGAAGGGCTCCTCGGAGGCGAAGTGAAGGGGTGTGGTTCACCAGGCGCGACGTAGTCATCCAGGTTCAGCTTGGAGAGGAGGGCTTGATCGACCTCTCCTGTAGAGATCATCCCCAGCGAAGTCACACCACCATGATTTGGAATGGGGTTTCCAAAATCAAGGAAATCTGGCGTGTTATCTTCTCCCACAGCGGGATCACCTCCTCCTTGAGCAAGATCGCCCACCTCCTCATTGTTCCCAGCACTTTCCTCCAAATCTGTTTCAAATCAATCCACACAGCATTGTTAAAAACATGAGCATTTCTATTCTTCCACAAAGTCCAAAGAATGCATGCACATATTGAGTTTAACACTGTGTGTTTCTTATTGGCAGGCCAAAACCTGGCAATAGAAAGATAATCTGAACCCAGCTCAATGGAGAACACTTCTGAGACCTGTCGCCAAATTTGTTTGGCTACTACACATCCAAAGAAAAGGTGGTCAATGGTTTCATTGTCTGTACAGTAGACACAATCAGGGCGTTTCTCAATGCCTCTTTTAGCTAAATTATCTTTAGTCATGAGTTTATTGTGAGAAAGCAACCAGAGGAAGACCTGTACCCTAGGTGGGAGTCCATGACATTATTGACCATAGAATTTGGTAAGCTGTTGCATTTGATGGATTTAACTGTGAAGAACTCAGAGCATCTACAACTGGAACTGACAAAAGTGAGCCCCTAAACGTGCACGGACGCGTCCGGACATGTTCGCAAACAGTGCCCGGTCACACCTCATTGCTCACTCATTGCAACCACACTCCTCATTTCCAAATCCTCATTTCTATACAACCTCCATGCAACATCCATTTGATCTACGTACATAAAAACAAGCTACAAACTAGCTACTCGTCATCAGATATGTCGATGACCTCCTTGTCGGAGCCGCTGGCCTTGTGGTCATTGGCGACGTGAAGAAACTCCGGTGCCTCCTCTTCGTCGTCCTCATCCGCGAAGAGCTCCTCATGCTTCACGCCGGCTGCCTGAATGAAGCGGCGGTTGGCCGCCACCTCCAGCTCGGACTGGATGGACTCTGAGGATGGCCGCTGCTCTGCCACCTCCTTCGCTTGGGCGAACTCGAGCTGCGCTTGTGTGCCCTCCATGCTGAATCTGGCCTTCTCTGACGTGTCTAGACGATGCGCATCTCCACCTGGGTCTCCGCTCAACGCTCCGGGGTCAACATTTTGTAGTAGGTCAGCTTGCATTGGACCATGGTGGCCGGCAGACGGTGAGGTCGGAGCGGAGAGGGAGAGGGAGGTGGGATCGCGGTAGCGGCACGGACTGGATGGAGAGGGAGGAAATGGGGATGGCTAGGGTTGAGCCTCGCCGCCCGGCTTAAATAGCCGGATTTGGCCCTTCGGGTGGTGCGCCAGAGCGGTGAGATGAATGCGGACCGGTGACCTCCTGGCG